TTTTTATAAACACGATTACATAACTGCCATTTTGTTGTGTACTCACGTGTGACATAATGGTTTCTTTGCGCATGCGCCGCGCGAATACTGGGTAAAATGTGCGTGACAATGAAACCGACTCATTTTAGAAGTGCGAAAAATAATGAATGCACACATACAAGTCAATTATTATCCTATTTTTTAATTTTTTGAAAGAGTGGATAAAAATAAGGGTTTTTGCCATACCTTGACAACTAACTACAGTAACTGATGTAGTGGGTTGTCAAATTGGTGTGCGTTTGGACTCATGTAGTGAGTTCTTAGGTCAAACACACCCACACAAACGCGCACACGCACACACACACATACACACACGCACATCTCGACTCATTTTTAGTGTTTTACACACATTTTAACAAAACATAGCTTCCAATTTTTATTTAATAAAAAGCGGCATCGCGAAAATAAGTGACAAATAAAAATTTACCTATTCCCTGCGGAAACATTCAAAATTCTTGTTGTTTTTTATTTCAATTTTATTACATTTAATATTTTTTTCTTATTTAAAGAATTTTTAATCAGTCCTTTCAACAGGCATGATAAAACGAAATGGTTTGGGTACAAGTTGATTTCTGTACATGTACTATGATCAATTGAGGCTGTCTAAACTTTAGGACTTAACAGTATAGAAAAACAAATAGTACAACTGTAAAGCCTATTAAGCTGCAATGAATTATTAGAAGTAATATAGCATCAAAATTTAGATTCTTTTACCTTTTTCTGCCTCCGCATTCCTGTACTCTACCACGCAGTAAAAATGTCCGATTCCAAATTTCCTTTAAATGACTTCCGGTAAGTAAGCATATAACCTTTACAAATTTTACCTGTTTATAAATTCATAGTGGATTTTTAATCTTTCTTAAAGTGTCTACATCTACTAATTAACAGCTTAAATAATATTTCCATTTTTTTGGCATTAATTTCAACCAATAGAAATGCTGTATACCAGTTTTGTCAAATCTGACCAGCAATTGAGGACGCAATAATTCGCCGAGTGGGAAGTTTAAAAATGGCTACTTTTTTAGGTCGACACACAGCCCCGACACACCCATCATATGAGAACTCCAACCGAGGACACAATTTGATTAGCAAAAAATAAGCATTTTTAGAGTATAAAATATTTTTGTCAATTGAGGATGGGCTCAATTGTCGGTCATGTCCTCACTCGTTGCTGTTATTCCTGACAAATGTCCTCAGTTGCTGGTCCTTACAGGAGCACACACACACGCACGCACGCACACACACACGCACACACACCCACACACACACGCACACACACACACACACACACACACACACAGAAAAATTGAAGTGTGCAAAGATATAATTATTACATAAATTTAGCAGTGATAAGAGATAAGAGTAGAAAATCACAAACATTTACTCTCGCCAAATAGACAAAAATGTTCATTTTTCATTTCGGCCAAGTGAAAATGTATGCTTTTACAGTAGCAAGTGCCTTAAATAACAGTTTTCCTAACAAGATTGTGCCATAAACCTGAGACATTTAACCATGATAACAGTATACCTGATGAGAATATGCCATAAACCTGAAACATTTAACCATTATAACAGTTTTCCTGACGAGATTCTGCCTTAAATCTAAGACATTTAACCATTATAACAGTTTTCCTGACGAGATTCTGCCTTAAATCTAAGACATTTAACCATTATAACAGTTTTCCTGACGAGATTCTGCCTTAAATCTAAGACATTTAACCATTATAACAGTTTTCCTGACGAGATTCTGCCTTAAATCTAAGACATTTAACCATTATAACAGTTTTCCTGACGAGATTTGTGCATAAACCTGAGACATTTAACCTTTATAACAGTATACCTAATGAGATTTTGCCTTAAACCTGAGACATTTAAGCATTATAACAGCTTACCTGATGAGTTTGTGGGCAAAATTTCAAATTCAAATTTAAGGAATCATCAAACTTCGTGAGTACATTAAGCATGCTATTGAATTTGGTAATAGTTGTGGTTTGACTAAAAATTACGAAAATGAAACATTAATGTTTTCATGATAAAATTTCATATTCTGCTTTACATAATCTTAGAATAAGGGTTTGCTTAGAGCACATTTTTCTTTTTCATTTCACTTTAAATAGCCAGTTTTTGGATTTTTTTTGGGAAATATTTGTTAAATGTATTATTGTGAGAGAATTACCCTTACCACACTAAATAAAACCATTCATTATTTTACCTGATTATACAATCACAAAAGGAAACATAGAAATGCATGTTTATAGTAGCTTTTATCAAGGTCAGCATACGCCGAGTACAGGTCTTTGGCCGAAGTGTCGTCAAAGACTTATACATCAAATATAGCTCTGTGCTATAACTAATTAAGGGATATCTCAACTAATTGTATTACTATTGTCTTTATTTATAGTTATGAAAATAGCATCAAGTACACGTATTTAATGTAAGAGAAATTGCATAAAGTCTAACGTGTACAATGTTTTGAATAGTGCAAAATTTATTTAGAAAGACAAATCATAGCAAAGTGTCTCTATTGTATTCAATATGGGTTTTATTACCTATTTTAACATTTAAGTTTTTTTCTTTGTTATTTTTCTTTTGTTTTATTATAAATTAAATTGAGATTTTATCAATGAATATATGCTTTAAAATGATCTGTATGACTTTAATACAAACACAACCGCTTAAATGTTTTAGTGTAACAAAAGGTTATTGTATGTAGTATCGCGCGATCATTAAGATCCATTAATATATCTCTTAAAAGCGCATCATGTCAATGTTGAAGAAAATAAATATTTTACTATCAAAGTTTATACATGTAACAGATCATATGTAGCACGGTATTATCTGAAGATGGATTAATTATTAAACAAGGAATTGCTGCAGGGGTTTAGTTGATGTGCCACATTAGATAAGGCAGGTTAGTTGAAATAATTATTTCACACAGGTAGACTTACTTTCCTATTGAAAACTATAACTTACGTTATAAGTTAGTGACCCCAAAAATGGGGAGAATTATGCCTTAAGAGGCATGATTTATATTATAGCTTTCACAGTAGGCAATACTCTTGGAATTGTAGTTTAACGAAAGAAGACTTATAAGTTTTGACCTACGTAATGCAAATGAAATTTTGTGATGCGAATGAAATTTTGTGATACATATCTATAATGGGGAATATTATCTTAAATGAATGGTAAACTTTATGGTATAGACAAAGTTTATTACACCAAATATTGAATTAATATGTTCAAAAATTTATTTTACAACAATGATATCATTTTTTAAGTAAAGCTAATAAAATGTCTCATATAAGTTTAATATTCAGATAAATATTTTTTAGATTTTCTGAATTTATATTATTTTTTTATTTCATAGAATATTGCAAAAGGCTTACAATCAAATATTGATTAAACACTAAAATGAAGCAAGTAATTAAACGTTTTGTACTGTTAAAGGCAAAATGAGGATGTATAACTAACGAAATTTCAATCACTTATTCAATTTAAAAGGAATACGATAAACATTATAGTTATGATGAGTTTACTGTTCATGCATTAGATAATTTGCATGAATAGCTCCAGGAACAAAATACTAAACATATGTTTAATAGTTATCTGTAATGCAATTATATACAACCTTTACATGGAAAATCGTAAATATTAATGATGATTAAAGGCATATGCTTCAGATAAATATCGACATATAGAATGAAAATGTATAATCTATTTAACAGTGATCTTGATCTATCCTACTTTCTTCCGTACACCACCCTATCCTTGTAACACAATCTAATACACGCTATCCCAACCTAACCTAACCTAACCTAACCTAACCTATTCTAGCTGTACCTAAACCAACCTACCTACCCTACCTAGACTGCCTAAACCTAACCACACATAACATAACCCAGCTAAATCTAAAATACCCCAACCCAGTCTAACGTAACCTAACCCAACCAAACTCACCAAGACAAGCTATGCCCAGCGCCCAACTAACCCTAACCCTACCAAATCCAGCCCAACGTACCTTATTCCTAATGTACCAAAGTTTTTCCCATACACCAACCACACATTTAACCTATCCCAACCTACCCATCCACCTATCAACAACCCATCTGTTTGTATTCTGTCAACTTCTAGAAAGATAACATACAAGAAGGCCATGATTGCCCTATATTGTCCACCTGAATATAAATGCTTAAAATACCAGATGACTGATACATGTATATTGATAACAAAGGATGAAAGGCAGACAGGGTATGTTGTAACCTTGTTTGAACTGATGTCAAAGTTCAAATCTGCATCTGGAACTGTACATGTAGAAATTTCATACATGAAGCTGTAACTAGAAAATGTAGGATTCTGGGTCAAATTCTATGTCAACTGATATTAAAGTTAAGTTCAAATCTGCACCTGAATTGGTGGCAGTAGTTTAATTTTTAATGCTCTAGCTTTCGATAAATAAATAAGTTATTGGGTGAAAATATAGGTCAAATTTGCATTACACATGTTACCACTGTAGGTTTGAGCCACGCCATCAATTTCTTTGTCAATTCTTCATGTTGAGAAAGCTATCCATCTAGCTTACGACACGTAGGTGGTTCTACTCTGGAGCCGTTTTGTGCCTGAAATAATGAAAAGAGGGGCACTTGAGGTCTTCCTCCACCAGGTTAGCTTGAAGGTGGCTATATGACCAATACTGTGTTCATGCAACATTGAACCGAAACCAGAGTCACCGCTTGACAGGGACAACCTCTAACTTCTTTTTACGTTTTCTAAGAGCAAACAAATAAATTGTTTAAAACAAATCTTTAAAAAGAAAATTAAAAAATTTTTATTATTATTATTTTTATAGATATGTATCACAAAATTATTCCAAGTATGAATCATCTCAAAAGATAAATGACAAAAGTAAGAAAATAGAAGCAAAATTCAATCATCTGACTTTGACCATCCAGTTTGTTGAAGATCAAGGTCGTTTCTATATTTTTCAATATATTTGTTTGGGAGCAAGTCCTGTTTTGTTCAAGTAAAAACTAAATAGATATGTATGTATATAAATGACAAAATTATGATGATATATTCAAAATTTTATAATTTGACATGACAGTCAAGATCATTTGAAGGTCAGATCAGATCAAAGTTTTAAAGGTCTTGTTCAAAAGATTGGTATTTGTCCAAGTATGAGGATAATCCATTGATTATTTACCAAGTTACAGCCAATTCAAGAAAAATCAGTGAATATGCTATATAATTTGAAATTGAAGGTCAAGGTTATACATGAGTCAATGTCAATTTGAGTTTGATATTGGAGATGTAGATGTTGTGTATAAATATGAAGTTAATCAATATATAAATGACAAAGTTATAGCCAGTTACAGAAAATAACACACGAATTTCAGTAATTTGAATTTGATGGTCAATGTCAATAAAAATTCAAGGTCACATCTAAATTATAAAATATTTTTGTTTGGTAGCAAGTCTTGTTTTGTGTAAATAATAACTAAATATAAATAAAAAGTGTACATAAATTACAAAATTATGACAATTGAACCAAAAATCAATAATTTGACTTTGACGGTCAAGGTCATTTAAAGCTCAAGATCAAGGTCTGTTCATCCATTTAGAATGTCTTGTCCAAAAAGTTGTTTTGTCCAAGTATGTCGATAATTCATTTATAAATTACAATGTTACAGTCAATTATAGCAAAAATCAGTGAAAATCCAATAATTTAAACTTCAATGTCAAGGTCGTGATTTTTTTAAAAAAAAGCCAAGGCCAATTTCAGTGCGATATACGTGAATTCTAAAAAATGTTGGTTCTAAACAGTCAATGCTTCATCAATAATAGGTGATAGCTAGAAAAAAATCTAATAATTTGACATCCACGGTCAAGGTCATTTATGAGTAAAGATCAAAGCGCTTCTGGTTAACTTGATGGTCTATCCTAAAAGATTGTTGTGTACTATTTTGAAGACAATCCATTCAAAAATAAGTAAAAGCAATTATAGCAAAAATCATTTGACCTTGAAGGTCGAGGTCATTTATAATTGAAACACAGGGTTAGTCCGGTGTGCTGTACTTGAAGGTTTTTGTCTCAAGGGTGCTGTGGCCAAGTATGAAGATTATAATCTAGAACTAAAATAACAAATGTTAAAGTTTGTGGACGGCAACGGCATCATTCGAGGAACCGCTAATTGTACGGGAAAACAACATGACAATAACAATAACTCAATACATTTCGTTTTCTTCGAAAGAACAACTTAGCTTAAAATTTACAATTTTTACAAACTTACAATTGTTTGCATTAAAGGACAGCCTTTTAACTTTTTTTTCATTTAATAATGCAAAAACTCTGTATGTAAAACTGTTATCAATAAAACAATTGAATGGTCCTTCCTCTTAGATTCCCAATCGCCCATGCAAATATGTACATGACTTTTTGATCGATTTTATTTCAAACTTGATCTGTCATTCAGGGTAAAGTGTACATTGTGACATTCTACATACATTCGTTAATGATTTCCAGTGTGAATACATACATTCTGAATATCATAAACATCACAAAAATTTGTTGAAATCAGTGCTTATTAATCTTTCAACTGTATTCATATTTATTTATATATTTGTATTTTAATAATCAATATCTACCACAACTTATATAACTGAAATACCATGTTAAGCCTGGCACTAATGTTCTGTTCTTAAACAAAAAAGTGACACAAGAGTAACAAATAGGAATGCGTAACAAAGAAACGTGTTGGCTGTCTTATAAAAAATGTCCTTTTTATTATGTTACAGAATGTTTCAAGCACCTCACAACAGGGAACAGTTATCACTGATGTTATCCGATGTTTTAGATGACCTCGGTGTCAATGAACGAATTGTGAAGAAAAGGAGAAAGTTAATGGAGATGGAAGAGAGTATGAGTTCTATTGCATGGGTGTCAACTGGTAGAAATGGGACTTTTTACATTTTAGGGAGTCAAACTGAAGGTACAACTACTATGGGACTTAATTCAGACATAGATTATGTAGCTTGTTACAATTATGTTAATGTTATACAAGACTTGTCAGAGTGGGAACTTGGCAAGGAAAACTACCTCATGATACAGGATGAGAACACCACCCCTGGATATTGTTTCATACAACTGTTGTCATCTGATCCTTTTCCTGCCACTGAAATTCCTGATGATCACCAAAAATCTGAAAGAAGAGGAATATTGTGTAAAAACACAATTAAAAATTCCTTGATGCATTTTGGAACGAAGCAGCATGGACCAGCCGTTACTAAACAAGGACATCACAATGTTCGTGATGTAGATACTGTGTTTGCTTATCCCTGTAAATCATGGCCTCAATCAGCATCAGCTTGGTTAGAGCGACAAGGTACAGGATGGCCAACAAATGAGATGAGAAAATGTGCAGCCAAAACAAGGTGTTTCGTTGTTCCAGTTGAAAGTAAAATCAGTGTTTATCCTGAACTGGAATGGAGAATATCGACATCCCTGGCAGAAAAATATCTTATGTTCAATTTCAATATAACACAAATTAGGTGCTACGTTGTACTGAAAATGATTCTTAAATCATTCCTAAATCCTAAGGGGGAAATAAATATATCAAGTTTTATGATTAAAACAGTTTTATTCCATTGTATAGAAAATACAGAACCAAGTATATGGGTAGATAACAATTTATGGACATGTATAATATGCTGCCTACAGGAATTACATAGTTGTGTACAGAATGAACATTGTTCCCATTTTATAATTTCTGAAAACAACTTGATGGCAGGACAATTTACTTCTGAGACAAACCATGAACTTTCAGGAAATATAAGTGACTTTATTCAGAATGATAGACATTTCTTGCTTCGGATTGATACTGATGATCTAGGATATAGACTTAAAATTAAACTGAACATGGGACAAGAGAAAGTGTACAGTTCTCTTACTTCTCTTGGACTTCCTGCTTTATTATACATTAACTTTGCATTCGCAATAAGCAGAAATCTCTATATTTTTTTTCGACGATTACATCATACAAACATTGAAAATATGCTGCAAGTGGTAAACGAATTAGTTTCCCTAATGACCAACATTGATACTGGTGAGAGACATAATATTTTACACACTGAAGTCAATTTTCTGGCACCTTTTATCTTCACCACATATGGATCTGCACTAGCATCATCTAGTTTTGGCAAAAAAACTGAAATATTGCCTGAAGCATTGGATTGGCTCAGAGATGGTTTGAGCTCAGATGTTTCATCTGGAAGGCTGAAACTGGCATCAGTGTTCTACAGTAAAGGAGAGATGGAGAAAGCTGACGAGATTCTGAGACAAACTGAACAAGAATATCACTCTCATTATGTTGTACCTATTTGTAGCTGCGTGTCAGGGTCTCCAGAAACAGTATCTGAAGACATTGCAAGGGTATGTAATGAACACAATGAAGACTGTATCCAAAATATTACAGCATTTTGTGTCCAGTTCATACAGCAAGAGATCAACTGCGTTCCTCATGAACTACAATATGAAATGTTCAGATCTACACAAGATGACATGATACACAGAGATCCAGAATATGACGTATGGATGGACTGGGCTACAGTTGATTCCCTACCTTTTCTGTACTTGCTACAATATAAGATATATAGTCACCTACAAAGACAACAAGAAAAACAACAAGCACTCAATAATCTTATAAGAACCACATTTACAGAGAAAACCCTGAAACATAGAGAAACAGCTCTTAATATTTTAGGGCAATGTATGGAACAAGAGAATAGACCAAATGATGCTTTCTATTGCTACATATATTCTCTGAAAGAAAGAACAAGAAACAACGCTGCAAAAATTCATATATGCCGGCTTCTCTGCAAGTGTTACATGGTTTTAAGATTCTACTTTATAATTCGTAAAGTAAATATAAAAAGAAAGTAGAACAACACGTCAATACCCGGGCATATGGTTTAGACACTATTTATTGATAGCTTTCAGTCAAACAATAACCATCATCAGGATAATAAAATTTCAGTATAAAAATTCAACCGTAAGATACACAAAAAGTGGAACCTGAATGTTTTTAGAATGGACATTCGCCAAGGAATATCGGAACTTTGCCAAAAAATAAGAAATATATAAAGCAATTAAAGTTGTTAAGTGTCGCGAGGAACGCGAAATTATATGAAATTCTTTCCCAAAATTATTATTTTTCTCCGGTGACGTCATAATTTTGTTTTTATTAAATGTAATGCTCCGGCATAACCTTAACATTATTATACATATGTTCTCCGGCGGAGTTCTTTGTTATTATCCGGCGGAGTATTTTGTTATAAATCAGGTTTGTTGATTTTCTCGTGATATTTGTTTTGGCGGGAATTATTCATTGCTATATAAGTAAAATTTCAGTGTCACGAGACAAAACTTCTCAGGATTTCAAGTTATTATGGATGATAATTATTTAGGTTCAAAATTCATATATATTGTGTTCTTTTGGCTTTAAAATTATACAGTGTTAGCAAAATAAAAATTTGGAAATTATAGTTCAGTGTTTGTGCTCTATATTAAAGTCTTTCTTGTGAATGGAGTAAAGTAAAGTGTAATTAAAGTATACTCCACCTTTCTGTCAATATTTCTAAACAAATTTCAAAAAGTAATTCTCTTCTGTGTTTTAGAGATTGCATGCTGTTATCATAAGGAGGATTTTCCCTTGATGTTGATATAAGTCCAAGAGACCCTTAAATAAGTAAGGACCTCTCAAAATCTCCTTCTTTAACCTAGGCATCCAGCAGTCAAACTGATGATTGTAATAAGCACTGAGCTCTCTAATAAAACTTGAAATTCATAGCCCTAGAGGCAGGGTTCAAGTGCAAGTCAAGTGCATCCATATGAAATAACGTTATAGTCAGAACATAACAATCTTTTCACAAATGTAACTTCAAGTGTGGCATTGATGTTTGAAATGCTTATTTGGATCTTGCTCATGACATGACCTCCTTGAATTGCAAACATTTTCAAATTAATAAATAAATGACCATACATATACTTGTATGAGCGAGAAGCACCTGTGAGGGGGCTGGCTACTGCTACACTGGGGCTTTTACAGTCCAAAAAATATGATAAACAAGATCGTCAAGGAAAGCCGGCGTTCAATGAACACAGCCCCTACCCAACCCAGTAACAAGAGTCAGTGGCAAGGAGCCCAGGAGGACCTCAAATAAAAACAGGACAGGGCACAAGAAACCACGCATCCAGACTTCTCCACTTAGCAATTATACTTTGTGGGGACCGAGACCTTCTGTAGTGTGGTACCAGTAATTAAAGCTATGGGGAATTGGTCGAGGTATATATGGAGTCCCAATGAAGATACGAAGGGTTCCCTCCCAAGCAGTCGGTCACGTGGCTTACTTTACTATCATTATGAAGAATAAAAGAGCTTGCTTAATACCAAGTTTGATGCCTAACTGTAGTTATAGTCCGGAAAACCATTTTTCTATTTTAAGTAACGTTTAGCTACACCCAAGGGTCCAAAGCAAAAAATAAAAATAAAAAAATGCCCGGGTCTTCAAATAAGCTTTCTATATACAGAGTTTGAAAACAATTTCTTGCATAGCAGACTGGCGTTTCCGTGAGTTTTACACATGCCGAAAATTACATCTGGCATGGGGGTGCCAGATGAGTCGCGTGCCAAAAAAAACCGTCATTTAAGCGCATTTCATGAATGAACCGCGTAAAAATGACGTTGTTTTAGAAGGGAAATATGTGCTTAGGATGACGTCATTTCGTCGTTGTTATCTAAGTTGTAAGTTCATACGCTATTGTAAGAACAGTTATGGAGGAAATGACTTTAATTTCAATGAACTTATATCATATTGATGTAAAACATTTTAAATATGAAATAATATGGCAGAATATGCAAGAAAAAATATCTGACATATCATTGCGGTTAGGATCGGAATATCCGTCCCTATATTTTTCTGCACATGAAAATATCAAAACAAACTCATGAAAGATTTTTCACCATCATATATTGATTTTACTTAGCACCTATTGGGTAGTAATAAGTTTAACTATAGTGTCTATAATTTTACTGCCCCTGGGACAGGTACACAGGTCCATGTGTGGAGTCTTAATTTTATCTTCTAACAAATGATCCAGTTCCAGTCTTAACTCTTTCACTAACTCAGCTATCTGAAAATATATGAGGAAATGTTGTGAAAGGTATAAAAATACAGTACATAAGTATCTTCTCATATAAAATGACTTCATCATTTTATACTAGTCTTTTGTAACAGAACACCTCAATTTCCCTTTGACAAATTAAAAGAAAGGAACTTGCGACTTAGATCTGCCAGTCTCTAGTAAAATCCAAAATGTTTGTTGACAGAATCATTTGAAAAAGTACCTATCCTAACCTAGACAGACTGACAGACAAACAGTTCAAAATCTACATGCCAGGGTCATAAACGTATCACCTCAGTATCACTTAAGAGTCTATTTTGTTATTTACAAAATAATAATAAATATTAGCTAACTTTACTGTTATAGAGGTTGTGCCATAAACATGAGACATTCAATATTCAACAATTATAACAGCTTACCTGATGAGATTGAGCCATAAACTTGATCCAGCCATCATCCACAGAAAGTATAAAGTTTCCCCGTGATAGATCCACCCCTATCTCTCCACCACCAAACAACAACAGGGGGTACACAGATACCATAGTACTGTCCCTGATATATATCTGAAATACAATTTATTACAAGAAATTAAATTTCCCTCAATATTTATCTATTCCTGAGTACAAAAGTAATTGAAATGGTATTTCAAAGCTGTAAAGAATACATTGGGTAGCTAATATAAATAAACATCACAATATTGATGGTGAATATGAATATTTATGCGTGAATGTGAATACAAATAAAAATTGGAACAAAAAAGTATTGATTTTCCACAATTACAATCATTTTTTAGAATATATATATATTGATATATTACATAAGGCCTTTGCAGCAATGTTAAATGTAATTTCACTGTTTCTAAATAAAGTTTATTTCTCACCCTTGTAGTTTTTACTTTCTCATGATACACCAAATATGGACTCTCGTAAAATCTCACTTGAAAGTTCACAGATGATGGATGTATTTTCACCTGCAAGAATTTAGAACAATACTTGTAAAATAACACTTGAATTTTCTCTTATGATGATCATAACTATTATTGTGACTGAAGATTGTTGCAAATTGTGTAATGGACTCAAATTGTGTAATGTAATGCACTCATACTGTGTAATGTAATGGACTCAAATTGTGTAATTGCACATCTCCTGAGTGACAAATATCAATGTATGAGGTTTCATGTTGCTATCTCAAAGGCTTTTTGAGTTATGCTCTGGACAAAATTTAAGTTTGAAAAATAACAAAGGACAATAACTGAAAAATTATGCAGAGTAGAAATATTATTCTTGTGCCTCAATATGATCTATCCACCCATAAGTTTCAAGTTTATACCTCAAATACTTTTGGGCGAAAATGCTCGGGCCACAAAAATGGGGAGAAAAACGGCCCTTCCCCATTTTAAAATGGTAAGGGGCCTTTTTTTTGGGTTTTTTTCTTTTTGGTTTAATAGAGGGCCAGGGGCCCCTTATTCTTTTGGGTTAAACAAAAGGGAATTTTTTTTGGTCTGTTTACAGTTATTTGCCCCCCACTTCTCTTCTTTTAACCCCTTTGGGGGACAGATAAAGACTGACCAAAAACCCAAAAATTTCAAAAATTCCCCCGCCCCTTTAAAAACGAAAAGTAGAAAAAAAATGACTTAAATGACTTACAACCCACAGGTTTGGTTTAAATCTTATATTTTCATTTTGGGTGCACACCCAAACTGCCCCGGGAAATAATAAATAAAACAAAAAAATTTTTTTATTTTGGGACCCTTTTTTGGTTCTTAAAATAATAAATTAGTTTAATCTGATAAAAAAGTTAAATAAATGATGGCATTGCCGAATAGTTTAACAAGTTGGACGACGGCTTGTGGTGTGGGTTCATTACTTGTTAAGGGGCAAGCTGTTGTTTCCTTCAAGAAGAAACTTCAAACTCACTGCTCAGTACTGGCTTGTTCCAACAACAGTTTCAAAAGTGTGTTATATAGATTCCTACACAATCAAACTAAATGAATTCATTATAAACTATTCAGTTTAAACAAAAAATAAATGAAACAAGTCATTCCTAAATTAATTTCCCCCTTGAAAGACTGACTTTTTTTAAAAATTAAAGTTGAAGTTATTTTGCAAAACAATGTTTTTTGGACCCAGCAAAACCTTTGATATAAAACAATGATAGTACAATCTAAACCCCTTATAGAAATAAATTTTCATTCACTAGCATTATTTTAGCTTGTTGAAATTTATAGATATTGATGCAGCCTTTTACTTTACGCTTCTTTTTAGAAGTCCTGAATAAAAGATTGTAGAGATAATCTAAACCTACCCCACCCATTTGGCATACTGCTGTTTCTGGGGTAAGAACCTGTACAATGTTTTGGATATAAGGTAATCCCACTAAAAGGCAGATTCAACTTAAGATTCTTAAGAGTTCAAGTTGGGCCTGTAATATATATATTATTTATAAATATATATTATATATATATATATATATATATAGTATCAATATATATATATATATATATATATATAATTATACTATATATAATATATATAACATACTCCTTGTTTTTCCATGTAAAAACAGTCATATGGAACAGAATTTTACTCATTTTATTTTCATATGATCTTGCATATTAGTAGATATAATGCTAGTGGATAAATCACATAAATTCCTCATTTTCAACAAATTTATAAATTCTTGATACACATTCTATTTTACTGCATCATTTACTTACACTATAAAATGAGCACTACTTTAAATACATTAGAGATGAATATATGTTTCATTCAAGTAATTTAGATCAGAAAACCAAAAGTCACAAATAAAGTTTTGCTATTGATAGTTCATCACAATAATTTTATTGTCTAAGCTCAAAAGCTGACTGTATTTAAAAAAGGGACAAAGTTAGGACTAAATCAGGAACAATTTAACTACCCATAGGCCCTGTAAGAGTGACCACCTTGTCATTTAACAATTTAACACACCTCAGGTCCTGTAAGAGTGATCACACCATCTTCACCATTTCTTGCTGCCCTCTCTACATCTCTACTAGATATACCTTCCTTCACAAACCCAATGTCTGATAACAACTCTACAAACTGCTGTTTCATACTGGATAACATCTAGTTAAACATCAAATATTACAATATTGTTATAAAACTTTGTACATCTTATATAGTTTGTACATATTGTAGCTTGTTCACTAATTATTGCCAAAATACTGACATTATCTAGATGTTTACAAGTATATTTTCATTATGTTTTGTGAATAAAATGATAAAATCCAAAATATTCATCTATAAGTAAAGCTAAAGTTTTGTATTACGACAATAACTTTTCCAGTATGATATGTGTAATGTCTCCTTGTATAAATGAATTGGCCTATTTTACTATCCAAACCTAGCCTAATGCATGAAATCACACATTTATATATAAGACGTTTTATCAAAATGTTGAAAATTAAATTTTTGATTGATATCAATATAACATTACCTCTAATGACTTTTTAAAGAGAAAATTCTCCTGACTGAAACGATATGACTCCTGCCCATCATTTTTCCTTGCTTCCTTCCAGGCCTATAAATAGATGACTAAAATAAATTTATCATGTTTTCTATGTATAAGCTCTCCAAAGACTGTATTCTTTCTAGTGAAAATACAAACAATAACTGCTTGTTTGTCATCTAATTGTTGACAAACACTCAAAGTTTACTACTTTTAAAATTCAAGCCTGAATTTCTGTATGTCTGTGAATAAAATCACATAAGAAAAAGCAGACTCAGATAAAAACATACTCAAAGAAAAGGGAGATAATTCTTTAAAACATTATAAACAATATGAAGAGGAAGTGAGTTAATCCCCTTTACAAGTTCATTCAAAACCAAAAGAGGAAGTAAAAAAATAATATTTCCAACTATCCTTCAAACAGAAACAAACAAATTTTATTTCAAAACAATTGTATGGTATATTTTGAATCCAGCACCCAGAGTAAGTTCACGTTTAATTTTATAAACACAATTTTACATCTATCCTTTTATGGTGCATTAATTAAATATAAAAAGTATTGCATGTTGAGCGACATGTAAATCTAAGTGCTCGAGCTAGAGTCAAAAAACTTAATAGGAATGTTGATCAGCATGTGAAATTGAGCATCTGGGGTTTCGCATGTGGATTAGTTCAGTGTTGTAAGAGTAATTGTCCTTGGCTTATTGAAAACTTCCAATTTCAATGTGTGTCGTGCCTAGCCCAAAATGTATTTGATCTGGAGTCATGAAATTTTACAACAATATGTTTCTACATGATCATTTTAGTGTTTTACTTATTTAACATTTTGTAACCATGACAACTGTTAGAATTTCACTTGGCGGGGATTCATTTTATTTACATTGTCTCGTTTATAGGAACATGGTGGGGCTAAGAGCGAGGTTTGGTGCACCATTAACCGGTTTAAACTCCCCAGCAGTCATTTAATATTATGCTGCTGACCGTTCCAAGGCGGCGCCCCACTGTGTTCCTCAGATGTATGTCTATGTTGTTTCATACTGTTTTGGTGACACTTTTGCTTGTGCCCCTTGTTGTTTTCTCGTCTACGGTAAGTATCTTCCCCATTGCCTCTAGTTTTTATTTCTTTGATTAACCCCCCACACCCCACCCCCACCCCCGGTCTCCTGTCCCCTTCCCTTTGTGGCCTATTATTATTTTCTTGAATTCCTAATCAGTTACAAATTATTTATCATTTAATGATTAACCTGTCCGTGATCTTTCTTTGCCCTGTCCTGTTTTTGTTTGTTGTTTTTTGTTTTTTTTTTTTTTTTTTTTGTGGGGGGGGGGGTCCGACTGGGCTTCCTTGCCATTGGTTCTTGTTGCTGGGTCATATGGGGTTGCGTTCATTGAACGCCGCCTTTGCCTTGTTGATCTTGTTTATCATATATTGGATAGCATGTGTAGTTGAGTACCTGGACGTTTGCTTTTGCATTTATTCAATATTCGTAGAGTAATTGCCCTTGACTTAAAAATATTTGACATTGAGTCATGAAACTTTACAGAAATATTTGTCAGCATGTGTAGTTGAGCCTCTGGGGTTTGCTTGTTGATTTATTCTGAATTTGTTGAGTTATTGCCCTTGACTTATTGAAAATATGCAATTTTCAACTTGTGCTGCATGTAACCCACAAAATATTTGAGCTGCATGTAACCCACAAAATATTTGACCTAGTCATTAAACTTTACAGAAATGTTAGCATGTGTAGTTGTGCACTTGCGACTTTGATTGTATATAATGTATTCAGAATTTGTTGAGTAATTGCCCTTGACTTAGTAAAAACCATTCAAATATGTTGTTTCAGCTAAGCATCGAATTTGTTATGAAGGGGTGTTTCTGTGGGACAATAAATCTCATGTTAATTTTTCTCTATCTGCTTATAAGTTATACAGAAATCATGTGGGATAAGTTTAGTAGTTGGTAATTTACAAAAATAATGGATATTACTGTTAAGTTTTTCAGGAAAGTTGGTAAGTGGTATGTTGAATGACTGACTGAATGATTGGCTGACAGTTTTCGAAAAACACTGCTATCTAACTTAAATAAATCAATTTGTTGTTTACATAAGTTTTTCCACTAGTTTGCAGTTTGCCTTGGAAATCATTTTAGTTAAAATCAATTGCATAATCAAAATAATAAATAAAAATAATTAACAATAATGCCTCATTCGAACAAAAATAAAAACATATTTTAAAATAGTTCAAGCAAGCCATTACTAACTACAAACAGTCTGTCTTTAATCAAACTAAGGTTAGATGTTTCTACATGAATAAAAAAAATCATTATCCTGATGAAGGTGTTGTTCACCGAAACGCGTTGATAACGAAATAATAATGCTTGTTGTATTTTGAAAAACTGTACGTGTTGTTGTTGTTCAAACGTCATTTTACAAATAAAATTTCAATTGCAATTTTCAATGTGTGTCGTGCCTAGCCCAAAAGGTATTT